ATTGAAGACATAAGCCACTTGTTAGAAAAATTCAATAGTAGTCAAAACCACATTTCCCTTACATGTGAAGAGAAGAACAACCAACTTCCTTTACTTGACATCCTGATTACTAGGAGAGATGATGGTTCTGTTATGTTTCGTCGAGAGAGCCGATTATATGACAGTGACTTATCGATCGGATCAAGGATTCAGAATCTCGATAGACTATTCTGGTCCGTTGTCCCCAACTCTGCTAACTCGATCAAGAAGTCTGTGTAAGGTGTAGAAAGTGTATTCTACAGACAACAGCAGATAACAAGTCAGGCAGGCAGATCAAGCATACAAGTCAAGCGTATTTATACAATTATTTACAATCGATAGAAAATTTTTAAACATTAATCAATGAGTTCATTAATTGACCTATTTGCGCATTTAGTTGATAGTTCACCAATTGACCCCAATAAAAATATCTAACATTTAATCAATAAGATGATCGATAAGATAAATTTTAAAATATGAGTTTGGGGATTTATCGTCCCCAACAGGTTCCATCAAACGTGCTGTATATAGAAAACCAACATGGACAGGACAGTATCTTAATTTTCATAGTCACTGCCCTATTCATTATAAACGTGGTTTAATAAAGAGCTTATTCAATAGAATCAATCGTATTTGTACTAGTGATACTATTGAAGTAGAGATGAAGCTCTTGACCGATGCGTTAATCAATAATGGTTACCCTTTGAAGTTCATAAACCGCTGGAAGGGTTGCAATATGACTAGACCTATGACGCTTCTGGCACCCAAAAAGCGAGTTTATATTACGCTACCATTCAGAGGTGACACAAATAGTCTCATGTTGAAACAGAGACTTAAATTAGCTATCAACCGGACATTTTATGCAGCCCAACTTGTCATTATCGAAAAGACAAGGTCTATGTTTCACCAAAAGCCCAAACAGCATGAAAACGATTGTGTCACATCCCATTGTGTCTACAAATTTACATGTATGTGTGGAAACACGTACGTAGGGAGGAGCAATCGTGATTTGCAATTAAGGGTGGGTGAGCATATACCAAAATGGTTGCAAAATCAGATGAATTCCAATGGTGAAATAAGACCACAGGATAGACAGACATCATCATCCATTGCGAAACATTTGATTGAGACGGGTCATAAGGTTGATATCAAATCAGCATTTGTTGTGTTGTACAAAAGCCTTCAAGGACGTATACTAAGGTTTATTGAAGCCTTGGCTATACGAAAATTGAAACCCCCTTTATGTGTTCAAAAACAATTTGTACTTACACTTAACCTACCCTGGTAGTACTGATTTACTGTCCAGAGTGGTAATCACATTTGTTTTCGTGTACTTTAATATGTTTTCCTTTGTTATGACTTACCCTTAACCTGTCTAGTTGACCTTTTAATTTTTCATATATAAATGTTCTTAACAAGTATATGTGTGATCAGATTGTTCGAAATGTATTGCGCAAATATATCACATAATTCTGATAAACTTCGTCTTCTCATTGCATTATCGAAGTTTCCATATTGTTTTGCTCTTGGTTCGAGTTTCGGTTGTTCGCAAACTGTTGCCAAATTTAGACACAGCTATTAGCTGTCTTTTGTACTATCGTATGTTATAATTATTCTTTATGTTACTGTTACAGGAAGCCTTTTTATTTTCATACTGGAAGGACGCGTTTACATGCCCCAGACACCTCACAAGTTGAGGTTTGTAACTAAATTTTGTGTTTTGTTTAACAAAGAACCGGTATTGTAGACAAATCGTAGTTTTGGAAACTTCTGTTTTGCGCGTATCTCAATCGGGTGACTTGGACGCTTCAATAGATCTAACAATCGGTTATGTTTGACCGAAGTGAATATACTACTGAGTAATCACCTGGGTGGTCACTAGAACGAAACGGTCATTCAGGGATTCCAGGTTTTTAATAGTGATCTAGCTTAGATTGACTTGTGTATTCAACTTTGAAAATGTATAAAAGATACAGGCTTGATAAAAAATTAGTTTCAATATGATGTTTTTGAGAACTCTGGTTGAACATTATGAGTCAGTCAGTCAGTATGTCTGTCTGTCAATCAGTCAGTCAGTCAACTACAATGTAGGACCAGGCACATATATGCATCGGTTCAAGTTGCCACAACTCATTAATACAACAAGTTAAACACCGAATTCCTAGAAGTAGTTAATTCAATGGTAGTAATATATAAAAAAAGTTTATGTATAAGGATATTGTACAAGTAGAAAGAATTAGTTGGTGAAAATAAAGATATAAAGCAATTTTAATATCACAGTTTAAAGGAAGACACAGAGTGTATGCACCTACGCCATTGTGATCGATTTTGAGCCATGTCAACCAGAGTCTCTAACTATTGGTTACGATAGTCACGCGGACCCCAACCAAGCAATCTGCAATATGAGTTATACAACCAATCAAGCATGTGATGAAATACCATCACAGATAATCAAATAATGCCTATAAAAATTTTGTTTAATAGTTGAATTCATGAGTCAATTGAAGTTAGACAACCATGGAAAACATGGAAGCACTGGAAGGCCTTTTCGTCCTATTGTGGGACTCCTCAGCAGTGGGCATACAAGATCACGCCTAGGAACTATCGGTCTCGCGTGCGAACGCTTAACCTCTGATTCGGCATCGAACAGTGTTAATATCTAACTTCAATCAATCTACGGAACTGCGCGACCGTCCACCATTGTCTTCAGTGAGTTACCATTTCACAACAGACAAAGTTGAAATCCACTGGCTTTTCACTAGAACTTCGAGAAATACATCTTGAAGCCGGTCATTACTAGCGAGCACATGATATTTATTATTAGATTGGGTGTTTTTGTGGAGCAGGATGGTGTCGTCATGGAGCTTTTATCGTTTTTCTGAACGATATCATCAATATAAACTCAGGTCAGAGAACAAAAATCTATCAAAATCATATGTCCTTACGAAATTGATATTTAAAAAATTTCTTTTCAGATATGTATACATAATTGTACAAATTGATTATAAATTTGTTAAAGAGGGATCTTCTTGTTGACCTTTGTGTTTTAAATGTTTAAATAGGTATTATATGTCGATTGAAGAAATGCAATGATCCTATGATGATGAAGGAACTCAATGAGATTTTTTTCAATGTAACACAGTCAAACTTACCTTAGTGAAATGTGAGATCAACTTTTCTTCGAAAGTTGTATCAAAAGCAATGAGCATTCTCAACGTTCCTGAAAGGCACTAAGGCGAAGTCATATTTATCTCAATGCTAAAACCATCAAACTTTATGCACTTAATTGTATGGATGCTAATAAATCTCGAGAGAAAGCAACATACCTCTGAGACGTCACTAAGATAAAGGATTATATTTATTTATCACTAAAAAAACAATCACATATAGCTAAATTGAAATACTTGCAAACACTTAAACCAGGAGAGGTTAATAAAAAGTTTCATGAAAACCCGATGTAAATATGCATTTTATCATTCTTCAATCACACTTTCATCAATCCAAATGCAAGCCTTATCATTAAGTCCCAAATCCTGTTGAAATCAATAGACTTCATACGCAAATATAATTTGAAAATTCAGTAAATGAAACTCATGATTTAAATCCAACATCACAATAATTCTACCATTTCATAACCATGGTACTTGATTGCTATCATGCATACATCAAAACACAATTTAGTCTTAATGACATCAATTGAAAAGTAAGTAGATCAGCCAACTATTCTGACAATAAATAAGGACTCAATCTTAAGTGAAACTGAGAATGGATCTATTGTAGTATTCCTTTGTAACCAGTTTTCTTCAAACTAGATACTGTTAATTCAAGAGGATGTTACCAAGTTTACAAACCATAATGAGAAAATAAGACAGCACAGATTGAAAAAATATATCTCAGGTAACTAATGTTATTAAAAATATGAAGAACAAGGGGATAATAAACCCAGACTTATGGCATAACATACGTCTAGTGGGTTCGATCCTTCCGCGTTTATTTGAATTATAGAAAGTATATAAACCTCGGTTACCGTGAAGAACTATTTTGGATAATTCTAGTTAGCCCTATCACTGAATCACCAAAATAGCTGTCTGAAAAATTGCAATCTCTTAGAAGACAAGTATCTAAATATTCTGTTCATGATAATTTTCAATTTCTTGATAGTATTAAGGATAATAGCACTTCCGGAAAGAACATAGACTGAAAACTACTATCCAAATCGTTTCATAGAGAATAACATGAAAAGAAGTCGGAACAAGGAATCTGGTAATTACCCTTCAAAAAATGAATCTGGAATTCAAAGGTGATCAAATTACTGATCTATCTAAAGTCGGTTAACAATAATGTTTCCTTACATGAGGAAAGTCAGTCAATTCATTTGGTTTCGCACAAATTAAACAATCAACTAAGTAAACAATAATGACAATTCTGTGTACATTTTGCATTTAGGTAAAAGACTACTAATGAGTAGCTAAAATATTCTCACTAACGTCTGTGGGACTCAATTATCCAATCTAATGAAATGGTAGGAAGTGGGATTTTGAGAATCAACACACACTCAGCAAATTCATTATCTTAACCTAAACAATTGTACTTGATTAAATGTCAAATACAAACGTTCACCTAAAAAGAATGTTACATAATTATCGAACCATTATGTAAGAGACATAGCTTTCAATTCAAGAGATCATCACTAAAATCATAGTTATTCAACGTATTTTGTAAGCGTTTAGCTTCTTGACGGAGTTTTGTTCTCGAACGCTTCACTTCCATATGAACTTTGTACTGATAATGTCGTCCAGAAGAACGATCAAAGCTCCAACATCAAACCATTCAGCTCAGAGAACAAAACTCCATCAAAATCATCCACCTGAGCTACAAATCGTCTCTTCGCCTTTAGCTTCAAAATCACTCACTTCGAAAATTCTCAAACTATTCGCTGTTAAATATATAAAACAAAACTAGACGAAATAATGATCGATTACTTAAAGAATTTATTTGCAGGTTCAAGTATAAATGAAGGTTCATTCAGTAGGTATCAATTAAAAAGGTTTGATTTGTTAAATTCCAATTACAGATATTTTATTTTATTTACAGATTGATTCAGTTCAAGATTACTAGCGAATGTAAAAAATAACATGTAGCGAAGTCAATATGGAGAGGAAGTAAAAGATTTGGGTATGTTACACAGTCAAACAAAGTAGAAAGCAACTGCGTTAATATTGTCAATATTCACAATTCATAGATTCCAACGTAATTTCCGACCATTACATCCATCATTCCACCATCGTGCCACACTCGGAACCCAATATGGACCAAATGAATGAGATGTATGAGCTAGCAGACACATTGCACATTGAGTTTGTGAATCCCGATCATGTATGATTCCATGACCATGCCATGCAAAATATTCATTATATGCAGTATCGTTCTTGTCCAAACACTTCAAATAGTCTGCCAGTTTAGCTGGTGATTCGAATTGATCAACGTGAATGAACGAGTATGGAGGAGCAACTCTTTCATATTCCTCTATCGATGCACCCATCACAATTGGAAGCAGATCGTTTCTTGAAATGAATAAAAAGTATGATAATCCGTCAAACATTGATCTAAACATCAATTTACAGTTTATTCAACAACAACAAATTGCATATTCAGTAGAAAATAGAATTCATGATATCAGCACTTTGGTAAAAATAATGTCACATAACAATCATGAAAAATATAACCTTTTCCTCAAAAGCTCTGGAGATTACGCAAACCAACAGGGTTACACTAGTCTGGTTGTCTGTTAAGTGTTGAATCCTATTGATCAAACTAGCCGAAAAATAAGCTATTAAAACCTACCAGTTTAAATTGCAGATATCATTTGGTACTCCTCCTACGAAACCACTTTTATAGATGATATGATGACGCGAAATTGAGCCTGCTCAATACGATCGTTATTGGTTGAAGTTTCAGTGGTCCATGGCTTAAGCACATCAGTTCTTATTTTTCAAGAATTCCGTCCTTCTGGACAGTAGTATCATCTTTGATATAAAGTCATTCTAGGGTTTTAGTGAGTAATAATATGGCCTTTTCAGAAGCCATCGCATCGCTACATCGTTTCACTGCGGTCATCCGGAATTTACTCACCGATCTCAACAACCAAAGATTCGCTCCTCAATTCATTGGAAACCTTTCCAATATCAGCGACATAGGGATCAAAATTGTCTGTCAAAATATCAATTCCTACAGATCAATGGAATTTATTATGCATGCAGTTATTGATGTTCTACATAGAAAATATTGAAATACTTTTTAATGAATTAAAAATGTGGACACTACTCACGCGGTATTGAATCAGAATGAAATACAGTACAGTGGGAATGATGAGTTATGGATGGAGATCAATGTTCATGCAATAATGTAGTGGTCAAAGTCAATGATATATACATAACAAAGTCTATGGACAGTATTGAAGTCATTGCCAATTCGAACTCAGTCAGAATTTCCTAGAAAATTTCTTCAATTTCAAGACCAGAACCTTTAATTTTGGTCAAACGACTTTCAAATAACTTTACGATATATATGTCAAATCAATTCTCACTAGCTGCACATCAAATTATCTTGTAACAACTATTGATGATTTCAGTTATAGGACATTATTACTCCAGATACACATGGCTTTATCAATCACACCGTAGACCCAATGCTCAACTTAAAGAGAATTAAAGTGAATTCTTTCACATTAATCATTAATTGAATCTTGATTCTTTATCCAATAGGTGCTTAAAATTTACGTTGTTAAAATGACTCAATCAGATCACAATAAAACAAAACAGTTCTAATTATTTAAACTTATATATTTTAAGTCAAATATAAGAAAAGACTTTTGAAAAGCTGAAAGCAGTTTTGCCTTAGTATGAGACTCCTCAGCAGTGCACATCCATGATCCCGCACAAGGAACTCAAACCCAAGAACTCCAGTCTCGATAAAATTTGAGGATACATGAAACAAACTCAAAGTATCACATTTAATCAGTGTTGTCACATAAGTATCTTACACAAGACGATACGATTAGGCCTGCCAACAATGATTTGATGGCTCAACAGTGATGAACTGGCTCACTAAACCTCCGAGAATCCCCTTACGAACCTAGTCACTAATGAGCACATGAAAATTATTAGTATTAATTCATTTTAAAATTTACCTATAATCCTGATACAAACAGAGAATAAAATTGAAAGATTCCCTTTTATAATGATGTTTTTCTTATAAATAAATTCGAAATTGATACGTTAGTTTATTTTACTTGACCAATTCTTTATGTATTTCTTAATGTTAATAAATTATTAAGTGGATATTGTTATGTTTTCTTCTTTTCACCTTTACCTTGATTTGTTTATATTCTTATTGTTTTTATTGTTAATCACCATGGTATTCAAATGTGCCCAGTTTAATTTCCTATATAATAGGTCGGAATAATCAATAATAATAAAATATACACATTAAACTTACATTTCAACTATACACCCTACTTGTATGGAACTCTTTATATATCATGACTTTAAATATTCACTCTTTCTTATTGAGTTTATTATTATCATTATTATTATACTGAATTAGTATAAATTCCTTTGATATTATTAGAACGGAGGTTTCATGGAGATTGTAGTAATTTCAACAACTGAATTCATGAGTCAATCTAAGCTAGGTCATCATTGAACGCCTGGAAGTAATAGGACTAGTGAGTAGTGCGCATCCACGATCCCGCATGTGGGATTCGAACCAGAGACCTAAGGCCCCACGCAACAACGCTCAGCCTCTAGACCATTGAACCGGTATTCAAAGGCATTCATGTCTAAGTTCTTTGATGCTAATAAATAGAGAGTCTATTCATGATAACTTTCATTAGTAGAAATGTTCGCTTAATATTTAAACTGCTCATATGTTTAGAAGGGGTTTGGTGGAGGTTTTATAAATTTCACGAGTTGAAATCATCAGTCAATTGAAGCTAGACCACCATGGAAGACATAGAAGCACTGGACGGACGTTTCTTCCTAGTATGAGACTCCTCAGCAGTGCGCATCCACGATTCTAAGTCAATATTTAGTAACTAATATTCAAAAAATTGACTAGTGCATTTTCATGTCGCATGTGTTTGAATGCACTGTGTCTATTTGGTATCCTTTTATCATTTTGAATTCACTTCTCAAACATTCACCGTCTGTGTCAAGAAATCATGATTGTTTACGAAACAGCGATAGTACAATGAGAAGAGAAAATTTGAAACTTCGGGAACAATTTAAGAAATAAATAAATAAATATATAGCCAAAAATCAAAACACATGAAGTCACAGATTCAGATTATAATCCATTCGATTTGATCTAGTAAACAAGGTAGTAGGATCCACGCTGAAAAAGTGAAGTAAAATGACAAAGGTACGAATTCGTACTTGTTTGTAGTTGTTTAAATTTGTAACTGGTTGGAATTTAACTGATATTCACCCGGTGTTTAAAATGACAGTATTCCTCTACATTCATTGCTTCTTGTTATACGAATTCATTCAGAAACTGTTCATTCGGATAACGTATCTATCAACAGACATATCAAAATCGAATCAGTCTATCAATCAGCAAGGAGAGGGATAGATAACTATAAGGTTAATGAACAGATCAGACGTAAAAACAACAAATACATACCTATGGACAACAGTCAATTGAATTCAACAGAACAAGCAGGTAGTCAATGATGAAGAAATGTTAAGTAGTCACATACCTTAAAGTATGTTTTGATGATATAGTCCAGAAAAACAATGAAATATTCTAAGGATTAAACCATTCATCATGAAGAATGAAATCACTTCAAAAGTCTTCGGAGCCTTATCAATCTAATGTATTGACAGAACACATTTAAGTTGTTATGATTTTATGTCCGGCTTTTTATCACGTGACCTATCCACCTATCAAAATACGACTTATACAATCTTCGCACTATGCTAAGCCAATGACGTTCGACCGGTATGAGCAGTCTAGCGTCCTTATTGGTCCTATGTCCGTCTAGCCCGTCCGCTTCACTCCAAAACACAACACCAGCTTCTCCAATGTGAATCATTTATTCCAAACATACTCGGTTTATATATCAACCAGAAAGACTACAACGTACCATAAAATAGAAAATAACATGTGTACACAATAGAGCCAAAACGTGGCTGTGAATGAGACAGATAGTAATTAATAGACAGGCCATAACTCAAGAATGATAAATCGTATAGTAATAGTCTATGGGTCAAATTAAAGCTTATAACAAGAAGAATATAAATAGACATAATCTAATTATTGAATAATTATATAATAAGAATATTTATGGAATGTTACCCTATTAATAGTCCTCTGAAGTTACCCGTAATTCAATCTTCACTGGGATATAACATAAGTAGTGTTGATTAGAAATTATTTTTCTGATATTCTATATATTCGCCTGATGCATTAATGATTATGACTGAAGTCAACATGAATTAGTGACTCTTTCAGTTATACTCTTAGTAATTGTCTAATTAAATTCAAGCAATAATCATATTAACATGTTGATAATTTTGACTTGAAGACATTTCATTCAGTAATTGAAACTAATTAGATAACCCAACGTTAAGAGTTAATTCATTTGAATTTGCTTAATGGTACTTAACCATGGTGCCTAATAAGGGATGGGATGCATTGGTATGAGTGAACACTATTATATCTTGTTCACACTGATAACTTTCACAGCAATATATAGTAGATCTTAATTTCCTGAATAGATCTGTTGTCGATTTCATATTTCTTTATCAGATTATTGAAACATTCATCGTAAATCAATGGAATAATATGAACCATCATAGAATGTATACAAGTCAATAGATAAATGTGTATACAAAAAGAATATTGGATGATCAATGAAAGAGTTTTCAATAGAGCTTTTCCTATTTCTATAAACAAATTAAACTAATACAAACTGCTGTTGACGTTTTCCACTATTAGTTTAATTTGTAATAATGAAGTGTTATTAAACTATTTTAAGAATCATTATCTATAAACTGAATCACTATACTATGATTACGTTTTAGTTATTCTATATTATAAGTTGTACAATATGTCTCACTTCATTTTCTAGTGTGTTTGCCAATGATATATGTTTAGGAGATTCATGTGTTAGACTAAACCATAATTGTCCATTTGGTCGAATTCCATTTGGTTGTTCATCTTTTGTTAAAATAAGTGCATCAGCTTCACGCCATCTTTCCATTCCGGTGATAAGTGTACATTTTGAAGCATAACATTTAGAAAATTTCTTTGGTATATAAATTTTCTGAGATCCATAGCTGAGAAATGTTTTCACCTAATATGCAAGAAAAATA